CAGAGGCCCTGTAACCTGAAGTGCTCATTAAGTGCTTGGTCCTCATCCTTTCAGATAAGATCCTAAAACAATAAAGAAATGCATTTAAAATGTATCTACAAATAAAAGTGCAATTTGACTTTTACTTCCAAGAATACCTATAAATACTACTCTCAAACAGGCACAGTAAATTGTACTTCAAAGTTTTACAAATGCTAAAACTCTTGTATCAAAACATTTTATGTGTAACCATTTTTTAAAAAAAGAGAAATGCTTTTCTGGTTATAAAATTGTAAGTAGGAAAAGTATCCAAATAAATTTTGATGTTATAAAAAACATCAAGATTTGGTCTCAGTGGGTTTTAAGAATTCTCACTGATGTTTAAGCCCCCTGACTACCCTAGGCTGTAACTTGTCTTAGAGTCCCAAAAACTTAGATTTAACTGAGTACAGCTGTTGGTTATTAAGTCAAAACATTTTAAAAGGATGTGATACCTTTTAGGTCTGAAGAAATTGCTGGAAAAGAGCTCATTTTTAACGCTCAATTACTAATCTATCTCCTTGCCACAGTCTAAACACTGTAAATGCAAACTATTCTGTTATCTTTTAAGAGGAAAGATACAAATTGATGTATGTATATTTAAACTTCTTAAATACAGAAGACTCAAGGCAGCAGATAAGTGTTCCATTTTTATATTCTTAAAACGAGATAAATTATGGCAAACATATTTCAGAAGATCCAAACTCCACACCTATCCAATCAATCTACAACGCCTAAACACTACAGAAAGCTGACTTAAACCTACTACTTCTAAGTGTTTTTAACGAGCAATCTGTTCACACTATACAAATGAAACAATAGGAAAGTACTTGTTCCAACAAGAACTACCCTTACAAGGCATTACACAATTGGATTTCATTTGCTTTACAATGCTAACATTTTTCAGTGCTACAGTACTACAGTGCTACAGTACTCTGTAGTCAATGAAGGATGTACCTAACAAGTACTGCGATCTCAAAATATTACTCGTTTTTCTAGTTAAAAATCTAAAACTCGTTTTAATTACAAAACTAACTGTCTAGCAAGCAAAGAGTAGGGAAAAAATGAATTTTCTTCTCACCACACCTATGTCACAAAAAACGAACTGGAGTCAACTTGAATATGTACTGAATCTGTAAGTCATACGGGAGAAGTTAAAGTCTGGGAAAGTCATCTTGGACCAAGGTGCTGCTGACACAAATAAATTCACTTCATTCAAGTACAGGCAAAGGAATTTTTAAAGTTATTGTCTACGCAAGTGACTGTAGGTGTTGTCTTATGCTTTATTTCCTAGCACAAACTAATCTTGCGATTTTAAACCTTCCTGGCTTTTAGGTGCATTTGAGACGCTGGGACTTGAAAGATCATCTAAATACGATGCACTGGAAGCAAGCAAGATATCCAACTAAGGCCGCAAAATACTGTCTTGATTTGGTGAGTCCCTGACTTGCAGGAGTTAAAACTCTCATCCCTTATATTGCGATGACGTAATCTTCCACACTGCATTTCTCTTGGACTTAAAGGCGAAGAAAAAACAAACGAACAAAGAAAATTTCCCCCTACTAAGAGGAATTAAACAAGCAGCAAAACGGCAGTTTCGGAAGGTGGTTAGGTAACTCCCTGAAAAGGAAGCTTCGGCTCAATAAGCAGGGAGAGAGAGTTGGAGAAGCAAACGGAAATGGTGTTAGGAACTCAACCTAAGGCAAGAATAAAGCAGACTGGAGAAACAGTGATCGGTCCCAACCCGCCCAGACTAAGCGTTGGGCGGCGAGGTTGCAGAGGTAAGCGCGTCGCAGGCAAAGACGCGGGTAGCCAGCAAGCCGCCCCCTCCCCGAATGCCACTTCCCCGCCGCGCTAGCAATTCCGCTCCCCTCCCCCCGCCCGCCGCAAAATGTCCGCGGCAGCGCCGGGAGAAGCAGGAAGTCAAAGCCGGGGCGCAAGGGCAGACCCGGACCGCCGACACTCCCGTTCAGCCTGGCGCCCACGAGCGGCTTCGAGGTCCAGGGCCATCGCGCCCCGACCCGACGCCCTCCCTCGAGGCCCGTGGAACCGGCCGGGGGAGGGGAGCCCGGGCTACCGAGATGGGTGTGACCCCTTCCTTCCGCCGTGGCCGGTGACAGCCCGGCCCCGCCCGCGCCCTCAGGCCGGTACCCCGCGCCCCGGCCGCGCTCCACTCTGCGGAGCAGGCGCCCCCCGCTTTCACTGCTGCGGCTCCCTCCCCTCCGCTCCCCGAAAGAACGCGGACCCGCGCTCACCCTGACGGCGCCGCGCGAGCCGGGCATCCCCCTCCCACCCGCGCCCCGCGCTCTCAGGCTTCCCGGGGGCCCAGAAGCGGGGTATCCCCGCGGACTGGGACAGGACGGGGGCGCCAGGCCCGGGACAGTGGGGGCGCCACTCTCGCGGGGAGCCTCGGGCCCCGCACTCACCTCAGCTTCTCCGCCGGGGCGTTGGCAGCACTGCGCGGGGTCTCCTCAGCTGCCGGACAGGGGCACGCGCCTGACGTCAGCACGCAGGCGACGTTCGGTTGGGTATCCGCGGAAGTGGGAGGGCCCGGGAGGTGAGCGGAGGGCAAGCGGTTTGAGGCGGGACCTGAATTCATCCACCGCCCTTGTTCGCGCCGCCTATTGCGCTTGGGTACCTTGTTCGCGGCTGGGAGCCGCTAGTCTTTCTCCCATGGTTGTATTTGTAATAATACTGTAAATAATCGTTTGCAAGCACTTCCACTAACATTTCTATTGATCCTTGCAACCTTGTGAAGTAAAATATCATCATCCCTATTTTGCAGAGAAGACAAATGCTTCTCGAAAGGCGACAGTGACATGTCCGATACTACACTGCCGGTGAACGGCCCAGGTTCCCCAGGACTGTATTCTGTGGGTCCGCGTGGCATTAGAGCTGTTCTCATCTCTGCGTACACCTCCATGCCCCTCACCCCAGCCACATCGTCGTCTTTCGGTTTACAGACTTCCTCCCAACGGCAAGGCTTTACACTCACTGTTTACCCTGCCTGCTTTTTACCAGCTCTTGGGTTGGCTCTCAGCCCTTCTTGATCATCCTATCCTCACAGCACCTGTTTATCTTGTCTTCTCTGCTACTGTGCAAGCTTCGGGAGAATAGGCACATTTGCTGTCGTATTCTCAGATGTTTCCTAGTGTTAGAGAAAAACAACTTATCTTAATAGTTCATTTATTGATAATACCACAGATATTGCAATATATTTAATTTCATAGCCATATTTTTTGGATTTTTTAATTACACAAGAATAACTACATTTTCGAGTGTTTAGGCATGGTGCTAACAACTTCGCATGTAAGAGTAGCTAATTTACTACTCAACAACCATTTTATAAGAACTAGTACCCCCATTTATTGATGCATGAACTGAGGCTCAAAGGTGGTGAGACTTGCCCAAAGACTCCAAGGCATGCAGTGGCAGAGCTGGGACTTGGACCCAGGAGGCTGGCTCTAGTTGACCAGTACACTATTATACTATCCAGCAGGTTTACGATAGAGAAATCAAAAGATAAGCTTCAGCTGCAGTCCTACCCCTAATACCAACTATTAACATTTTAGTGTACATCTCAGATATTTGTATACATACACACACATCTATTGCACAAAAACAGATTGTAATCTGCTTTTCTCTTATAAAGCATATAAAGCATTATTTGAAAAGGCTGTATTCTAATGTATGGGCATTACAATATTTAACCAATCTACTGTTGGAATTTAGTTGTTCTGGGCTATTATAAATTCTGACTATTATAAATATACGCAAGTTTAGTTTCTTAAACTTGAGGGAAAACTGGTTGTCTTTTCTCCCTCTGCAAGGCCAGTTGGCAGTGACCTTTACTTCATCCCATCTCACAATCCCATGAATGTCCGCAAACAATGTCTGCCTTTTCCATCAACAGCAGTATCTTGATGGGGTGTCACCCAACTACTTGACTTTTCCTGCCTTTGTTCTGGGGACAAGAACTCACTTAGCACTTTGTCTATTATGTTGTCAGGTTTGTGTCAGAAGGGCCTTCTTAGAAGCTGAAAACTTGGAAATGAGGGTGGGAACAGGGGTTGGAGCAGGTAGGAATTTGGGAATCATGTAAAGGGTGGTGGCAAGTACCACACAAGGGCAGACATGGGAAGCAGCGATGACAGTGATCGTCAGGCGTCTTGCAGTTGAGAGAAACCTACTCAACCTGGCTCAGGGAGTATAGGGAATTTACTGGCTAATGTGACTGCAAATTAAACCAGACAGCATCCAAGGGTTCAAACAGTGCCACTTGGATTTAGTTTCATTGTGTCCATTTCTCAGCTCTGTTGATTCCCCCTGTCTTGGTCTCATTCTCAGAAGCCCCATCAGCACCACTGAAATTATCTTCTGGTTCCCACCTAATCCAGGTTCTGTGGTGCCTATATCTGCTTTGGGTCCCTGCACTATTGTACATCCAGGGACGCCCAACCTCTCTGAATCATAAATCCTATACCCACAGAATTAATATCAAATTCCTAGAGACTTCCTTTGAGAATCTGTTTTAATTCATTTTATACAGCACAAACTTCATCTTCCCAGATCTCAGCTCTTATTAAGTCACTCCCCAGCTCAGGGACTCCCAGTGTTTTTTCCTTTGTCTTCAAATTAAAATTCAAAGTCCTTTAGCCAGGCATTCTGTGTCCTCAATGATCTGGCACCAACCTGCCTTTTTAAAGTTATTTTCTCTTCCCTTCTGTATCAGTCAGGGTTCTCCAAAGGAACAAAACCAATTGGAAAGATCTACATCTCCATCTATCTATATCTACCTATTTACCATCATATACATATAATGGAATTGATTTACACAACTATGAAAGCTGATAAGTCCCAAGATCTACAGGGTGAGTTGACAAGTTAAGAGACCGAGGAGAGCTGATGGTGTAGTTCCAGTCTAAGTCCTAGGTCCTGAGAACCAAAAGAGCCGATGTCTCAGTTGCAGTCCAGTGACCAACAGCCTCAAGACCTAGGAAAAACCAATGTTCCAGTTTGAGTCCAAAGCTAGGAAAAAAAAATCTTCCCTAACTCGAAGGACAGTTACTTTTTTTGTTCTATTTGAGCCTTCAACTGATTGGATGAAGATCATCACATTAGGGAGAGCATTCTGCAGTACTCCATCTACCAATCCGAATGTTAATCTCAACCCAGAACACTCACAGACACACCTAGAATGTCTGACCAAATATTTGGGCACCCCATGGCCCAGTCAAGCTGACATATAAAATTAACCATCATACCTTCCATCGCACACCTTGTGCTGCAGCTAAACTGAATTAGTATTATGCGTGCAGGTACCATATCTTGCCTCTGTGCCCCTGGTCATGCTGTTCTCTTTGCCTAGAACACCTTTCTCACTCATCCATCCTGCTATCAAGTCCCACTTTCCTTGCCACCATGAACTATCCCTTTTGCCAACACTGACCTGTGTCCATTCCCACCTCATGCCTCTGCAGATTCAGTGGTTCCCTTCTGTGAAACTCCTATTCTTCTCTCACTTAAGTACTAGCCTAGACCTCAGCTCTGAAGCCTTCTCTAACAATTCCAGACACTAATCATGCCTATTACACTTTGTATTTCAAGTATACTATGTTGGAATCATTTATATCTGTGCTAACCATTAGGCCATGAGCAGGCAGGGATCTTATTCATTTTTGTATCCTTTGACCTGGCACACTGCTAGTCCTCAAAAATGTTTGATAAATAATACATGAATGAACATAGTGCGACTTCTTCCACAAAGGCTGCTTTGCTTCCCACTGACAAAAGTGATCTCTGCCTCTTGAAAACTCCCATAGCACTTCTTTGGGAACTTCTTCAGGCCCTCACTCTGTGTGTCCCCAGGCTGTCTCTGCCCTACTACAAGTTCCCAGGGCCAGGCGCAGTTTTAGATGCTTCTCCATGCCCCTCACCATACTCTTCAGGTACGTAAACACAGTGAGCACTTAAAGTGGGCAGAATGAGAGAAGCCTCAAAAGTACATCTGTTGCCAGATGCCAAAGACCGCAAACCCACCACCATCTATTTCCCCAGGGCCTGCGAAGATTCAGAAATGAGGATCCAGTTTAAAGAGACTCACCTTCAGTCTTCAGATTTAGGATTTACACAAGGGAATTCTAATCTAAGACTTGTGTGATTCATAGTTTGTAAAACTGTAAAGAAAAGCCAGGAAGTGATTATTATTTAAAAAAAAAAAAAAAAAAATCCAGCTACCAGCTGTGTCTAAAGGAGATTGTAATCTGGGAGGCATGGGGAGTGCAGGGGGATTGTGTTGGCAATGTTTTATTTTATGACGTGGGTGATGATTATATGGATGTTTGCTTTGTAATTATTCACTGTACTGTACATTTGTATTATGTGCTTTTTCTCAGGGGTACTATTTCAAAGAAATAAAGGTTAAAATAATTCAATTGAAAAAAAATAAAGTCTCACTGCTGTTAAGGTTGATGTTGTGTAAATTCCCACCACTTACGAATCAAGCCTACCCCCTTCCATTCTGATGTACTGACT